AGATCTTTCAACTATAAACAACTATTATTGTACTGGAGTCATGTTGATGTGACGGTGAGGGGGGTCATATTTTCATGTCATTCTTATTTTCATGAAAATATATTTATTTGGATAAGTGCAATAAGAGTCTGTTCTTGGGGCCGGCCCCATGGCTGAGCGGTTAAGTTTGCGTGCTCCGCTATAGGCGGCCCAGTGTTTCGTCGGTTCGAATCCTGGGTGCGGACATGGCACCGCTCATCGAGCCACGCTGAGGCAGCATCCCACATGCCACAACTAGAAGGACCCACACCTAAGAATATACAACTATGTACCAAGGCTTTGACTGGAATGCCATGTTTGAGAGAGACATGCATAAACTCAGATATGACCAAGGGGGAAAGGGAGCATCCTATAATCTTATTATTAAATCCCAGTCCTTTAGTGGGTCTGTGTCCCTGGGCTCTGACCTTAACAAGCATTTCTTAGCTTTCCTTCCTCCAACCCTTCAGTGAGACAGGAAGGCTAGAAGGGGCTGACTCTGATGAGGGGAGGAAGAGTAAGTATTGCGAAATATACCCAGAACATTCTCCATGACAAAGGTCTATTCTCCAACTCCAGCCTTTTACATGTTGGAGCTGAAACTAGACATCCCCTTAGTAGGTTTACATAGTATGAGTATGTTTTTTTCTAAGAGTAGCTTTAGCTTTTACATTTTGGTCTGTCATCCATTGTGAATTAATTTTGTGTATGGTGTAAGGTAATAAGTCCAACTTCATTCTTTTGCATGTGGATATCCAGTTGCCCCAATACTATTTGTTGAAAAGACTATTTTTTCTCCATTGAATTCTCTTGGAACCTTTGTTGAAAATCAATTGACAATAAATATACGGGCTTATTTCTGTACTCTCAATTCTATTTCACTGATCTCTATATCTACCCTTATGCCAATACCACATTGTGTTCATTACTGTAGCTCGGTAGTAAGTTTTGAAATTGCAAAGTGTGAGTCTTTGAACTTTTTCTTTTTCAAAATTGTCTTGGTTATTCTGGGTCCTTTACATTTCTATATGAATTTTAGGTTCAGCTTGTTAGTTTCTGTTTCAGCTGAGAGTTTGATAGGGATTGCATTGAACCTGTTTATCAATTTGGGGAAAATTGCCATCTTAACAATATCAGGTCTTTTGATTCATGAACATGGGGGTATCTTGCCATTTATTTAGATCTTCTTTAATATATTTCAACAGTGTTTTGTAGTTTTCAGTGTACAAGTCTTGCACTGCTTTTGTCAAATTTACTCCCAAGTATTTTATTCTTTTGATGCTATTGTAAACAGAATTGTTTTCTTAATTTCATGTTCAGAATGTTCATTGCTAGTATATAAAACTATAATTGGTTTTTATAACAGATTTATTGAGATCTAATTCATATACCATAAAATCCACCCATTACAATTGACTTTTGTGTGTTAATATTTTACCTTGCAACCTGGCTGAACTCATCTGGTAGTTATAATAGTTTTTGGTGTGTGTATGTGATTCCATAGGATTTTCTATATACAAGACCATGCCTTCTGCAAACAGAGACAGTTTTACTCCTTTCTGTTCTGGATACTTTTTATTTATTATTTTTGCCAAACTACCCTGCCTAAACCTCCATTATAATGTGGAATAGAAGTATTGAGAGCAGACATCCCTGTCTTGCTCCTAATCTTAGGGGGAAAGCATTCAGTCTTGCACCATCAACTACTATATTAGCTGTGGGATTTTCATAGAAGGCGTTTATTAGGTTGAGGAAGATTCCATCTATTCCTAGTTTGTTGAATGTTTTTGTAAATCATGAAAGGATGTTGGATTTTGCCAAACACTTTTTCTGCATCTACTGAGATTATGTGCATTTTGTTCTTTGTTCTATTAATATGATAGATTACATTGTTTAGTTTTCATATGCTAAGCCAACCTTGCATTTCTGGGATAAATCCTGCTTGGTCATTATGTGTAATCCTTTTCATATGTTGCTGGATTCAGTTTGTCTTACTCTTTGTTTGTCTTACTCTTTTGTCTTAATTCTTAATGGATTGAGAACATTATAAAGAAAAATGCTATGTATTTGTCCCCTGGAATTCTAACAATTACCTTTTCTGAGAAACTTTCTCTGATACTCCCCTATCTCCAAATAACTTCTATGTAATGCCATAGCACGGTACATTTTGTGCATAGTGTTATCACTCAATTTATCTCACTCATTGTAATGAACTGTATATGAGTCTTATTAAACTTTGATACCTACTTCTTAAATGATGAGTAGCTAATCTAGTTGAAGAGAGGGAGAATTATGTTTCAGGCAGAAAAGACAGTATGAGCAAAGGCAAGGAGCTGAGAAGACATGGATTTTGAGGCTACAAGATCATCTTTGCTGAGGAATGAAGTAAAAGGCAGAGAATGGCAAGAGATAAACCAGGAGAGGTAGTCAGGGGCCAGTTCATTGGAAGTCTTGTATTTCATGTTAGAGAATTTGGTTTCTATGCTGCAGCAAATGGTTGTAAAAATATATATATATATATTTTAAGTAACAGACCATTATTGAAAGAAAAATTGTACAACAAGTCTACTCATGATGAAAAAGGGTTAAATGGGCTAGGTCCCAACTGCTTGGCTTCCTAATCAACTCTCACTATAGCTCCCCAAGTGGTGAGTCACAAAGTGTGGTCTGTAGATGACCCATATCAGAATTATCTGAGGTATTTTATACAAAAAAATGCAGATTCAAGAGTTGACAACAAAGACCAACCTAGAATCAGAAGCTGGGGTTTTTATAAGCTCCCTAGGTAATTCTCATGGACACCAAAATTTTAAAACCAGATGTTCTATAAGACAACTGGCCCATAATCTTCAAAAATGTCTGTGCTGTGAATGAAAAGAAAGGCTGAACAATTGTTCCAAGTTAAAAGAGAATAAAGGGATAGGACACTTAAATGCAATTCGTGATCCTGAATCAGGGAAAAGTTTTGCTCTAAAGGACATTATTGGGACATTTGGCAAAATTTAACTAGAGTATGATACAAATAGTATTGTATCAAAAGTTGAATTTTCTGATTTTAATGTGAGAGAACGTTCTTGTTCTTGGAAAATATATGCAGAAGTTGTTTGGGAATAAAGGAGCATAATGTCTATAGAAATGGATTGGGGGAAATATAGAAAGAGATAGATAGATAGATAGATAGACATAGTTCTTTGTACTATTCTTAAAATTATTTCAAAATTAAAAGTTGAAAAATTATAAAGAGAAAGCCTAAAAAATTTTAAGTCTCAGGATTGTGCCAACTTCAACCACTGTTAGAGAACTGAGAATTACTGAAAGGCTTTAGGGTAGTGGTGTTACATAATCAGATTTGTGTTTCTGACAGGTCATTTCTATGGTACTATAAAGGGTGGAATTAGGATGGCAATATGGGTAACAAGGAGACCAACTAGAAAACTATAGTATTCCTGGTAAATAGGTGATAGGAGTCTGAAAAGAATGATGGTAGTTAAGATGGAGAAAAAGAGATTACGAGGTAGAATCAGTTGGATTCAGTGGATGACTGGACAGAGGGATGGAAGTGAAAGGAGGAAAGACGGTAACTACCAGGTTTCTAGCTTGGTTCTGTAGATATTACTGCTGCCAAAGTTATAGAGAATACAGGAGGAATACCATTTAGTGTAGAAGCAGATAAATTTGAATTCAGATATTTGGGACATCTATGTGAAGATGTATAGCAGAAAGTTAAATACAGGAGTCTGAAGCTTTGACAAGAGGTCAAATGTATGTATAGCTATGTATGTACTTACATGTATACACACAAATATATATGTGCATCTATGCAGGTATACACACATCTGTATGTAGAACAACAATATGATATAATCAAGGTCAAGAGCTAATGAAAGGCTGAATCTAAGCAGACTTAATTTAAGAGGAATAAATTTAAAGCCCAGTACATTGAGCCAAAATACCAAACCAAAATTGAAGAAGTAGAGAATGGAGGAGACACAACTTAGCAGCAGCACTGTAGAAATAAAACTTTATAGGTTTGAATATATATAAATCCAATTTGTCAATATTTTAGGATAATATTCAAAAGAAGAAATGCAATCTTAGACTGCGTTAATGGAAATCTAGTATCTAGAAAGAAGCAAATGAGACTGAAGGTTTACTGTATACGCATTAGATGACATCTGCAATACTGTGCTCAGCTTCCTTCAAGCTTGAATAGTGATAGAAAGGAGTAAATAAAGTGGTAAAGAGATGTGAATCATGCTGTATTATAGATGGTTGGACGAAATGGAAGGAAGGTTTCAGGGAAATACATGATATTTTTAAAAATACTTATGATCTATCATGTGGAAGAGGTTTTACATTTGTTCTCATTATTTCAAGGAGAATTAGAGAAAATGAGTCAGTCAGAAATGCTTACCTGTAAGGTTCCTTCTCTCTTTGTTTTGTGTTATTAAAGAGGTAGATGAAATTTACAGGGACACATGTTTTTAACTCAACATGAAAAGAACTTTCTCAATGTCACAGCTCTCTAGCAATGGAATGAACTGTATTGCAATTTGTTAAACTACTAATCACCAAGTGTAGTCAATCAAAGGGTGGATGAGTCTGGATCCTGTAATGAGTAGGAGGTGAGACGAGTACTCTTAAGGTTTCTCTCTGCTTTAAGATTCAGTGAGAAGGGAAATAAAGATCAGACAATGAGATCAATATTCTTTTTTTTTTTTTGACTGTGTAAAAATACAAGAAAGCAAATTGACATATAATGAATTTCTACTGGCTTCCTCTATATATTTCTAGAGCTAGAGGAAAAAATAAAAATTTGAGATTCAAAATTTCTGGGAAGGTGAATTGTTCCTTGGCCGTCCAATGTGAAGATAATCTCCTAGTTTCTTATATGTTGATCTTGATCAGATACATATTATTCAATAGCTCAGATCAGATGATAGTTGACCACCCATTACTGTCTATATCCCCATTTCACTCACCCAAAGCTTTATTAGGGAATTGTCTTCTGAAGTATTCAAATATACAATCATCTGATACATTTGTCCTCGTATCTAGAAAAGATGGTAAAATGTCATTAGTAGCATGAAAATAATTCATTGACTTTTATATTTCATATTTTTATCTTCTAAATGAAAAATGCTAGCAGATAACATGTAAACACTAGTTTAGCTCAATGAAATTAATACAGTTCTCAAATCTTATGAATTTTTGTTGCAATTTTGCTATATATAGCAAAAGTCTAGAAAATATCCATACCCTTTGGGTCTGCAATTCCTTTCTAGTAATCTGCTATAAATAAATAATTAAGAATATATACAAATAGGAAGTTATAAGGTCTTCATTGTTGTTTACAATAAAAAAATGTAAACAATAAAAGTTTAAGAACGAGGGTGGCTAAATAAATTAAGGTTCACTCTTACAATGGAATACTTTGCCACCGTTTATTACCACGTAAAGAAGTTAATAATACACTTCAATTTTAAATGAAAATGTAGGTTCCAAAACAACCTGAAGATTCTGTGATTAATTAACATGGAGTGTATGTGTATAGATGTAGAAAAAGGTCTACAATAAGTATTCTAAAATGTGCTCTTTATTTTTAATTTTTGACATTAAATTTTTATCAGAAGAATATATAAAAGTTACATATAAAAAGTAACTGATTTGCTTGACTGATCACTATGAAAAAGAATAATTAATTTAAAATTCAAGTAAATTAACCATTTTAATTATACTAGAATTTTCCCCTTTCCTTGGTGTGGTTCTTATCCCCATTTCTATTTTTAATTAGCCTGCCAAATCATAAACTAAAAAGATATATGTTCATGTATATGTATTTTTAACTAGGTTACCTCAAATCCTTTTTAGAAATAAGTATGGTATAAATATACAAAAATAATACTCATACACATAAAATTAAAGAATTATTTTAGATAAAATTAAAATATTGCTCAAATTAAATGAATATTTTTCAAAGGACCTTAAAGAAAGATAAGGAGATAGAAATTCAGAAAAAGAATACCAGAAATGTTAGTCAATCAGAGATTCATATCAGGCTCATCAGATTCCAGTAGAAGCAAGTGAATATTCCAAAATTTAATTTCTCGCCTGGCCTCATCCTTTGTTAAGTTATAAAACAAGAGGACCAAGATGGTTTTTAGAATATAAAATCTCTATATTTTGTTTGGGGAAAAAGCTTTCAAATCAGAGATATCCCTCAAGTGTGTGGACCACTCACTCTCGAACCCTCCAATGTAACTGACCACTCCTTTCTCTGTGCTCTCTTGGAACTCTGTCCAGACTATTGACATTGCATGTGTAACACTGCAATGAACTTGTTTACTTGTTTATCTCTCCCTATTAAAAGGTGAGCTCCTGAAAGGAAGAAATGATATAGTATACTTCTTAATATCCCTAGCACCAAGCACAGTGGCAATCTCAAAGTTGTAGCACAAAAAAGTGCTGAGCAAATGAAGTAATTGTTTATGAGAGGGCGGAAGCAGAACATTACCTTTCACATCAGAATTTGATTCTTTATGTCTTTGCACTAAATGTCCTTTATTACAAACCTAATGAAACACAGAACCAGAGGGAAAACAGTACTATGTTATAAACATGAAAATGAGGTAGACTTCCTATATGCTTTATGGTACAGTAATTTTCAACATTCCTCATTTTATCCTCAGAGGTTTAGAAAAGACAAAAATAATCTCTTAAATCAGAACTTTCTGATATCTTTCACAACACTACTTTTCTCCTATAGCAATGAGTAGAAGAAAATATTGATACCAATGGAGTTTAAAATTTTTTCATTTCATATAGAACTTATTTAAGATGAGAAAGAAACCAAAAAAATGTATACTTATAATCTCACTTACTTAAATGAGAAGAATAAAGATGTAGGAAGATAAGTGTGTAAAATGTGTGAGAATATTTAAAATTATATGAAAATGTATAAGCGATTCCAAACCTGTGCTTATATAGAAAAGATGAAAAATATTTTCTTGTAGCTTGTAAAGAAGTCCAGAGGAAGAAAGAGAATATATATGGCATTGCTTTCTATCTTGAAAGGAGTTAGCAATATGATCCAGTTAAAGAGACACAAAATGCTATAGAATTGTGGCGGCTAATCTCGAGTAGTTTACAAATCATTATGTAACCACGAAAACATTTTAAATGGTTCCAAACTTTCGTTTCTGCATCTTTGGTATGTGGATGTTATAAAGAATTTTCCAAAATGGCCTGAGAAAGGAAAAACGAATTGAAAATATTTTTGCCAAGCTGTAATGCATATCAATTCACGATGAAAGTGGACAATGAAATAGAGTTAAAATCTCTTTCTTTGTAGATAAGATTGATTGGCAGCAAAAAAAAAAAAAAAAAAAAAATGATATAATCAGTATGAAAATGGAAGGAAAATGTAAAAACCAAAACTTTATTATTGATTATTGAAGGGAGAGAGAAAGGGAAATATTTAGAAAAAAATTACCCAAAGTTAAAAGTAGCAGTGTCATATAGTCACTAGAATTTGGAGAGACAAGGGGTGAGAGTAGGCTGAAGAAAATTTGTTTGTAATGAGACTTGATTTGATAAACTCTTAATGTCATTTTTAGCCCTCTTCCCTTGATTGAAATGATGCTGTGAACCATAACAAACTATTACATTTATCCCATAGAAAATCACCAGGCGGTGTCCTTATGAATATGATCTACAAATTCTAACGACAGTAATCTATAATTGTTTGCTTTTGCTGAAAATCTTCAAAATTAATTACTAAGAGTGCCCTGGTAGGAAATAAATTTAACCAAAAAACTTTAAAAATAATTTACTAATATTATATTAGGGATGTATTGATACCTTAGAAGCAAACCATTAAAATAAGAAATATTTCAAGAGCATGAATTTAAGTTGTCCTCAGGCAATAAGATGACATTATTCACTCTTCTTGCTAAAGATTATTAAAAAATAAATTTTAAGATCAATGACTAAGAACTTCCATTAGTTTATGGACACACTTAGAATGTATGCAACTGTCTGAAATGACCAAATGATGATTGTTTTCCATTTGGAAGATTCAATATTAATTATAGATTATGATTTCATAACAATTGTAAACTGCCAATCAAGAAAGACAAAAATACGTGAACATTTAATATAAAGGAATTTATCATATTTTACATGGTTAAAAAAGAAACAAAAGGCCCAAAATGAAGTCACTATGCTGAGCCCCACCAAGTCTTAAAACCTAACTTATTTGTAGTTTCAACCTCTCTCAGGGGTGGAATTTTAAACCAATCAGTCTGGAATTTCCTGATGAACACCAGTAAGGTAATCTGTCTGATAAGACCCCCTGCCTTCCCCTGAGGAAAGGTGACATTGCCTGAAATAATCAACTCTTAACTTCCTTGTCCCACCCTCTTTCTGCCTATAAAAACCTGCCATTTTGTACAACTCCTTGGAGCTCCTTTCTACTTGCTAGATGGGACACTACCTGATCCATTAACCACTGAATAAAGCCAATTGGATCTTTAAACTTACTCGATTGAAGTTTTTTCCTTTTACAACATGAAATATAGCTTTGATAGATGAGGAAAACCACTATGTGGACATGTTTATGAGAACTAAATAAATATGTCTCACAATATCTACATCCAAAAAAAATAAGAAAACAAAACTTACTTTGGTTATTGGGTTGTACAAATGACTTAACACAAGATCAATTAGGGAGTTTGTTTACCAAACAAATTTTTTATAATCTTGGCCCTCCCCCAAGCATAATCACATTGTTCAGATTGCATAATTTACAAACAGAGAATTAGATATCAATTGTCAAAATTTACAATATTACGTAACAATATGCTTTACAAATAGAATTTAAAATTTGTGAGGAATACTAATACAAACGAGAACATGCATACTGCTAAAATCTGAATAAGTTCTCTGGATTGTATCAATGTCAATTTTATGGTGTTGATATAGTATGATAATGTATGTAAGATACTAACAATGGAGGAGAAGTGAAGGATGCAAGGCACCTCCTTTATACATTTTTTTATAACTTCCTGTGGATCTATAAGTATTTCAAAATAAAAGGTTAAAAAAAAAAGAACTAAGGAAAGAAGAGAGAAAAATAATTTCAAAAGTTCTTGGGAAATTACTTTCGGCTAATTCAATCTATATTTGGCAGATGACAGTGTATTGGGTGTTCAATATCTGCTGAATAAACCTGTTACGGCTAACTTTAAATTCCCTACTGCTGCTGGATCACTATTATTAACACAGGAAATATTTGCAAAACAACTTCTGATATTTTTATTTGTTTGAATATTTGAGTAGAAATCTTCTAATTTTCTGAATCTGATAAAGCCTGGTCCCCAGGTCTCCAACTTCTGGGTTCTCCACACGTAACAGATGCTTAAGAACTCATTGATTGGATCCAAGGGTGGAGTGTTTGGATCCCATCAACCAGAGGTATCACTTTAGCTGTCCTTCATCTTGTCTGTCAGGTTTACTTCCTAACTAGAGAATTCTGTTGAATTCTGGGTACTGATCTTCCTCTCCCTACCCCTTCTGGAGCTTATTATTATTTATTTGTCTGTTTCTTTAGTGACCAGCTAGATTATTTTAGTGAAGTTCATTATCCCCTTGCAGAGTTAAGCCTCTGGTTTTGCTCCTCAGGGGTGCAGACTTGGGTATGCCCACACTCACCCAGGGATGGCAGTGGTTTTGACAGGGCCGTCTTTGACTGTCTCTTTCCCTGACAACACCCAGCTGTTAAATTCCACTAATTTCTGATTTATAACTCTATTGTTTCCTGGGGCATAAATTGCTCTACAGACTAATCCAATCAAATTCAGGCTCCTTTAAAGAGATAGTTCATGAGGGCAGTGTCTGAAATTTGTTCTGACACCAGGAGGACTCCTCTCAGCAATCTCTTTCCCCAGTTCTCTCTGGCAAACTAGCTGGCCTATAGTTTAGCTTTTATCTCTAATGAATCTACCAATCTATTCTCAATTGCCTTTTATCATACTTGCACTGGTTTTGAGAATGCCCTTAAACTTGAATTTCTCCAGGATCTATTGCAAATTAAGTTACTTACTTGGGGAAAAGATTAGGCGCTGTTTAATCTGGTTCTCTCCCAAGGCAAAATTTCTGACCTGAGTGTCTCTGGAGCTGGAGGTGGGGACAATGGCATTCTTCTCTCAGTGATACCCAACTTTAGGAGCTGAGCTGTAGGTGGAAAGAGGGCAGTAGTCTCAGGTCTTCTCTATCTGCCTCTCGTGGTGTGGAACCACCACTTTACAGACCAAGGCAAGGCAATTAAGGCCAAAATATTCTCGGTGATGTAGCACCCAAGGTACAGTCTCATTCTCACGAATGGGGTCTGGATGAAAGAAGGGAGCCCCTACCTCTTGGCTGCATTCAGCTGGAACTTAGCTTCAGCAACAGGTAGCTGGAGGCAGGATAACAAATAATGATACCATGCCCTTCCTGGGAAGATAGCCCTCTGACTGGTATCTATGGGGAGAGGGGGACCTGGGTTCTTGACTGCACTAATCTGAAGTGGGGTTTCAGTCTCATTGAGCTGGGAGGGAGGAAGGAGGGCGGAGTCAATTCAAATATGACAGGCTCTTGCTTTTGTTAATCAAATTTTAGTAGATTTTCAAGAATAGATTTTTTTTTCCTTTGCTATATCCCCTTATGACCATTTCCAGAGACTTTAAATGGTTGTATTTAAAAAAAATAATAATTTTCACCAGTTTTTGCAAGAGGCCCTCACACTGTCATCGTGGAAGTTGATCTCCCAGCACCATTTATTTTATACTTTGTATTCCTATTTAATTTGTCTTAGTTTTAGTTTACTTCTTCTTCCTAATGACAAATAAATTGCAAGCAATAGGATATATTGGAGTATATGAGGAAACCATTTGGTGTAAATGTAATTCAGTCTGACTTTGTTTTTCCAAAAGGCCCTAACATGGCCATTGAGCATGCATTGTATATCTGCTTTAAGCATTTCCTGTGTCCCAAAGGCAAGAACAAATGCCCTTAAGATAAAGGTACAACTTCCCCCACATTGGCATTTCCTTAAGGATAAGCATCTTTCCCTAGGCTAGAAATGATTGCTGCACTCACCTGTGACCACCCAGCTCCAGACAACAGATCTGCTACCCTGCTGTGTCCGTCAATCACTGTGCTGACAGAGCAGTCTCGTAACTATTGTAAAAGGGACATTTCAATCATATGTGAAACATGCTCTTTGAGGGTTTATAACTACTCTGTACACCCCACTTCTTTGGTGCCTTTCCTTCCTTAGGGAGGGAAGGGCCCAGGCTATATAGGCCTCACATTTGGCTCAGAATAAACTCACCCCAATTTTCATTTATAGATTAATGATGGATTATTTTTGTTGACACTATCCTAGGTACATCTTTGTAAGATGCCTCAAATACTTTTCTGAGTAAGGGAAGTATAAGTGAAATTTAATTACAGGACCTTAATAAGACCCTCCTCTCATCTTCCCAGGGTTTTTCATGTTTTTATAAACTATAAATAATATGAGAAAAATTTTAATTGTTAACTTTTCCTGGTTAAAAAATTAGGGTGTAAGAAGTGAAGGAGGAAATAACTTGCCATTCTCATGCAATAATTTTTTCAAAAGCTGTTAACAACCAGATCAATGAATATTTACCTCTTGCTCTTTTCTGGTATTTTGATGGCTTACTATGGTAGAATTTCTTTCCTTCTTTGTTTTGAGATGTTTTTTCTTGGTTTCTATCTAGATAAAAGAATCATATTTAAAATCAATATTTAATCAGCACTTCAAAGACAGTATATATACAGACATAAAACTAACTTGAAACTTTCATTTCTAGGAAGATGAAGTGTTTTTCCTATCCCTCACATGAAGTATAACTAAAAACTCTTGGTATTATATACAAAATAAACAGAAGAGGCTCTAAAAGTTGGAAAAAAGAAGACATCCTGGTGAGGCAGCTCAGGAGTAGAGGAGCAGCATGACAATGAGCAGTTTTCTTTTTGCCTCATATATCCCAGCCTTAGATCTGGAGAAGCCAGAAACCCAGAAATGCCAATGAATGAAGAAATAACGACTGAAAACTTTCCAAATTTGATGAAAGACATGAATGTAAACATCTAAGAGGCTCAATAAACTCCAAGTAAGATGAAATAAATAAAACCCACACTGAGACACATTATAATCAAACTTTCAAAGTCAAAGACTAAGAGAGAATCTTGAAAGCAGCAAGAGAGAAGCAAATTGTTACATGCAAGGGATTCTCAATATGATTATTAGCAGATTTCTCATCAGAAACTTTGGAGGCCAGAAGACAGTGAGCCAATATAGTCAAAGTGCTTAAAGAAAAAAAACTGGCAGAACTGTCCTTTCAAAAGTTAGGGAGAAATTAAGACATTCCCAGATAAACAAAGGGTGAAGGAGTTCATGACCACTAGACATGCCCTGCAATAAATGCTCAAGGGAGTCCTGCAAGGTGAAATGAAAGGACACTAGACAGTGACTCAAAGCCATGGGAGATAAAGATCTCAATAAAGGTAAATAGATGGGTAATCATAAAAGCTAGTATTAATGAAACAATGGTTTCAAACTACACTTTTTGTTTTCTACGTGGTTTAAGAAACTACCACATTTAAAGAAAAAAAAGCAATTATCAGTGGAAAGCTAGTACTACTATAACTTTGGTTTGTTACTCCAAATCTTGTTTTCTACATAATTTATGAGACTAATACATTTAAAAGAATTATTAGTCTATGTCTTGGGGCATACAATGTATAATGATGTAATTTTGTGACAGATATAACAGAAAGGGGTGGGAATGCAGCTGTAAAGGAACAGCGTTTTTGTATGTTATTGAAGTTAAGCTAGTATAAATTCAAATTAGAGTGTTATAACTATAGGGTGTTAAATGTAATCCCTATGGTGACTTTAAGAAAATATCTATAGAATATACACAAAAGGAGATGAGAAAGGAATTAAAACGTTTCACCACAAAAATTCAACTAAAGACAAAGGAAGATAGTAACGCAGGAAATGAAGGACAAAAATACTATAAGGCATATGGAAAACAAATAACACAATGACAGAAGTAAGACCCTTTTTATCAGTAATTATTTTCATTGTAAATGGATTAAACTCTCCAATCAAAAGACAGAGATTAGAAGAATAGATTAAAACACATGATCTAATTGTATGCTGTCTATAAAAGACTCAATGAGATCTAAAGACACAAACAGGTTGAAAGAGAAAGAATGGAAAAAGATATTCCATGCAAATAATAACCAAAAGAGAGCAGGGGTGACTATATTAATAGCAGACAAAATAGACTTTAAATTTTAAAATGTTACAAGAGACAAAGAAGGACATTATATATTCAATATAGCAAGAAATTATAACCATTATAAATATTTACATACTTCATGGCAAGCCATTAAAATATATGAAGCAAAAGCTGAGAAAATTGAAGGGAGAAATGCATAGCTCTACAATAATAGTTGGAGACTTCAATACCCTACTCACAATAATGGATAGAACCAGACAGAAGATATGTAAGGACATAGAGGACTTAAACAACCAATAAACCGACTAGATCTAACAGACATAGACAGAATACTCTACCCAACAACAAAAGAATACACATTTTCTCACATAGTACATCTTCCAAGAGAGACCATACAGTAGGCCATGAATTAAGTCTTAATGGGTTTTGAAAGATAGGTATCATACAAAGTATCTTCTCTGATCACAATGGGATGAAGTTAGAAATCAACAACAAAAGGAAAACTGGAATATTCAAAGAATTGTGGAAATTATTCAATACACTTTTAAACAACCAATGGATCAAAGAAGAAATCATGAAGGAAATTATAAAATACTTAGAGTTGAATGAAAATAAAAACACAAAATAGCAAAACTTATGAGACACAGCACAAGTGGTGCTGAAAGGGAAATTTCAAGCTATAAATGCTTACATTAAAAAACAAGAAAAATCTCAAGTCAACAACCTAACATTACAACTTAAGGAATTAGAAAAAGAAGAACAAACTAAACCCAAAGCTAGCAGAAGGAAAAAAGTAATAAAGATTAGAGCAGAGATAAATGAAAAAGAAAATAGAAAAATAGAGAAAAATCAATGAAACCAAAAGTGGATTCTTCAAAAAGATCAACAAAATTGACATACCTTTAGCTAAATGGACAAAGAAAAAAAGAGAGAAGATTCCAATTACTAACATCAGAAATGAAAGTGGGGGTATTACTACCTATTCTACATAAATATAAAGGGTTATAATTGAGTACTATGACTAATTATATGCCAACAAATTGGATAACCTAGATGAAATGGACAAATTCCTAGAAATACAAAACCTACCAAGACTATATCATGAAGAAATAGAAAATATGAATAGACCTACAATTAGTAATTATATTGCATCAGTAATCAAAAGCCCCATCCCATTGATGTTGGATTTGGACACATGACTTGATTTAGCTAGCAGAATGGTAAACAAGGGCTTCAAATATGCTTTCATAGTTTGGCTTGCCTTCTTGAATTCTTGTGATTTACCATGAGCAGAACATGCCCTAGCTGGTGGTTGGTCTGCAGAAAAGGAAGAAAGGTAGAATAGACCTGAACTCAACTCACAGTCTGGAGATAAGTTCAACTGATCCCTGATTAGCCTAGTAAGGAGCCACAGATGTTCTACAGATCCATGAACAAAAAATAGATATTTACTATTGTAAGCCATAGAGATTCTGAGGATTTTGTTTTAATGGAGTAAAATATAAATAATATAGAAATTGATACATAGAAGTAGGATGCTGTCCTAATAAAAACCTAAACTATGTGACAATCACTGGCTTTGTGACTGGATAACAACAGGTGGTGTGGAAACTATTATGAGAAGCTAGAAAAATACTGACGCAAGTTATGAAGAGGTGATACATTTAGTAAAACTGTCTTCTGTGATAGCATGAAAGACAGAAAATGTACCTAATAGATTTGGGACATTGGAAAAACAGATTTTGAGGTAGAATGTTTGGAGTATGAGTTGGTTGTTGCTAGCTTCATTTGATAAGGTGCTACAAGAAAGAAATCAGTTCAAAAAAATCTTTGGACAAAAGAATTGAATTGAGAGGGAAAACAGCCAAAAATTCCAGAATTTGTAAGTTGGCTTCAACATAGCCTTAAGGCAAAGGTAAATCAAAGTTATGGCTTTTTACGTCTTTGGTAGACAATCTCTTAGATGGCCTTTAATCATCCCCATCTCCTAGTATTCATACCCTTCTGTAATATTCTCCCCTTGAGTGTGGGCTCAGCCTAGTGACTCACTTTTAATGAACAGAATATGGCAAACATGATGGGATTCTGCTTCTGAGATTAGGCTACAACGAGACTGTAGCTTCTATCTTGTGTGCCCTCTCTTGCTTGCTCACTCTGATGGAAACCAGTTGCATGTCGTGAGTTGCCCTATGGAGAAGTCCACATGGCAAGGAACTAAGGGAGATCTTCAGCCAACAACCAGCAAGGAACTGAGGTCCTCAGCCCAACAGCCTGTGAGGATCTGACTCTTGTCAACAACCATGTGAGTGAACTTGAAAATGGATCCTTTCTCAGTCAAGCCTTCACGTGAGACCACAGCCCAACCAACACCTGCATTGCAGTCTTTTGGAAAAACTTAGATAGAAGCACACAGCTAAGCCACTCATGGATTCCTGACCCACAGAAACTGTGTGATAATAAATGTTTGTTGTTTCAAGCTGCTAAGATTTGGGGGTAATCTGTTACTCAGCAATAGAAAACTAACGCAACATCTATCTTAGTCCATTCTGCTACTATATCAAAATACAACAGACTAAGTGGCTTATAAATAACAGAAATTTATTTCTTATAGTTCTAGAGGCTGGCAGGTTGAGATCAGGGTGCCGGTATGGTCAGGTGAGAGCTCTCTTTTAGGTTGCAGCCTTCTTGTTGTAGCCTCAAATGGCAGAAGAGGCTAGGGATCTCTCTGAAGCCTCTTTTATTAGGAACTAATCCCATTCAGAGGGCTGTGCCCTTATGACCTAATCATCTCCTAAAGGCCTCACCTTCTAGTACTATCGTATTGGGCATTATAATTTCAACATATAAACTTTGGGAGGACAGAAATACTCAGACTACAGCATTCCACTCCTGGTCCGTCCAAATTCATGTCCTTCTCACATGCAAAATACATTCATTCCATCCCAACAACCCCAAAAGTCTTAACTCATTCCAGCATCAATTCTAAAGTCCAAAGTCTCATCTCAATATCATCTGAATCAGATATGAGTGAGACTGAAAGTATGATTCAGTCCGAGGTAAAGTTCCTCTCTAGCTGTGAACATAGAAAGCAAATAAGTTATATGCTTCCAAAATACAATGATGGGACAGGCATAGGATAGACATTCCCACTCCAAAAGGGAGAAATAGGAAAGAAGGATGGAATGATGGGTCTCAAGCAAGCCTAAAACCTAGCAAGGCAAATTCAGTGAGATCTTAAGGCTCAAGAATAATCCTCTCTGGCTCAATGCTCTGCCTTCTGGACCCAGTGGGGTGGCAGCATCACCCCTGTAGCTTGGAGGGGTGCTTGCTGCTCATGTCCAACTCTCTGTAGGGGCCCTGCCCACACTGTAGCTCACAGCTCCAGGTGCCTGCCACCTACCCTGTTAAATACGAGGTGAAAGTGGCCCTGATGATCTCTTAGTCACCTTCAGGGCCTTTTTTCCTTGTCTTGAAGAATAGCACACTTTCATAGCCAAATAGTTCTACACTACCATCCTGTAAAATTCAAGAAGTCTGACAGCCTGCCTTCCTTCTGTCCTGTCTCCATTTTCTTCAGTGTAAACTGGCAGTTTTCCTGTTGGGGTGACTGATTATTTCTGTGGTTCACATCCACACTAATCTCCTTATCTAATGGTTAGTCCTCTACACCCGTACTGTTCTGTTCTGAAAACGCATTCTCATTTTTTATAATAAGGATAGGCTGAGAATTTTCCAAATATTTATGTTTTGGTTCCTTTTTGTTTAATAATTCCTTCATCAATTCATTTATCTCTTCTTGCATTTTACTATAAGGAGTCAGGAGGAACTAAGCCACCCCTTCAACACTTTGCTTAGAAATGTCTTCAGCTAAATATATAATTTTATTGCTCACAAGTTCTACCTTCCACAAAACACTAGAACACAAACATAATTCAGCCAAGTTCTTTACTACTTTAAAGCAAGGACTACATTTTCTCCATCGTCCAATAACATGTTCCTCGCTTCTGTCTGAGACCTCATCAGAATCACCCTTAACATTCATAGTTCTACCAACGTTCTGTACATGATTATTTATGCATTCTCTAAGAAGATGGAAACTCATTCTCCAGCTCTCTTCTTTTCTTTCTGAACTCTTACCAGAATCACCTTTAAAAGTTTCTTCATGGCAATATCAGCATTTTCTAACATACACTTCTAACCTCTCAGTACCCAGTTCTAAAGCCACTCCCACATTTTAAGGCATTTGTCACAGCAGCACCCCACTCTCAGTACCAAGAGAGAACCATCATAGTTTTTCTTAGTCACTACCTACCACCAACACATTGGAGGTTAGGGTTTCAGTAAATGTACTTGGTGGGGGCACAAACATTCAGTATATAGCATCACCTAAACTCCTTATTCCTCCCACGGCTCTAATTTTCTCCTTCAGGCACTTATCATCATCTAACACATCATATATTTTACTTATATTTTTATTTTTAGCTCCACTAACTAGAATATAAGCTACAAAAGGGAAGGATTTTAGTCTCATTTTGTTCATTGCTCCATCCCCAGCACTTAGTTGCAGCTCAATTTATTGTTGTTAAATAAATGAATAGCGGACTAGCAGCCGAGTGATGTATGTTATGCTACCAACTCTCATTAATCAGTGGCGTGGCTTTTGAGAGGTATCTTAATCTCTCTGGATCCTAACTCTTCTCATCTATAAAGTAAAGGTCTTAAAAACCCCTAAGGTTAGAAAATTCTATGATTCAAAGATATGAAACACAATCAGAAAATAAAATTATTGCTATACAATAATTATACAACTGCAAACTGTTTTTTTTCCTGATTCTTAGTCGCAGTAAGAAGAGTACCTATTTAGCAAATCCAACACAGGCAGAAATTTTCAACAATACCTGAGAAGTTAACTTGAGAAGATAAGTCTGAGAGTCACTGGATTCTGAACTGTCAGAGCCTCGGCTGCTACAAAAAAATGATAATCAATTATTTGACTTTACGGAATGTTTTGGTAGCATTTTAAAGTTCCAACAGTTACTTTTACTTTCTTATCTTATTGGAATGTTAGAAATCGTTCTAATTATAAGAAGAAGAATGTTTACAAAGGAGGTGTAGACGTTTGGTAGTTCGAGGCATCTTAGAGTATAAGAAGAATGACTGAAATTGTTCGGAACACAGCAAATAGAAACAAATCCACGAGTTCAAAATGATACTCTCCATCTGTGAACAAACTTATTAGTCACCACTGGAGGTTGCAGGGACACTAACTCAAAGTCTGAAAATTTATAAGTAAAGGGGAAGAATCAAATATTTGTTCTGCCTTTCCTATAGGAACTGTACTAAAATTAGTACCTTCCTTCTTCCAACAATGTTCCCTTAGCATTGAATTTTGCATTTATAATTCACTAACCTAGAGTATTTATGTGGTATCTCTATAAATGTGTCAGTTATCTGCAGGTAAAGACAACATTAAAAATGATTTGAGTATGCCTTTCACAAATAGTACATAGTAGGTGCCCAATTAATATTACCTGAATAAATGAATAAATTAAGTCTTGATGAGGTCTGGTCAAAGCAATGTGCATGGGAAAAATTTTTCTCTACTTATAGTCAGGATTTTTAGTTGAGAGTAATGATTATATCCTAGTATTATTATAAAGAGCATAGTAAAACAGAACAGCAAATTACATTACTTTCACTGTCTTGACTTACCTAGACTCTAGCTCCAATGTAATTTCTTTCAGAGAAGCATCTGAATCTTCAAGGACTTTTTCCAAGTTTATACGTTTTTCCATTTCTTCTAATTCTTTCAGGCACTGATAATACTACGGGAAAATGAGAAATGAGTTAATTACAAAATAACTTTATTTCCTAATTAAACTAATTGAATATCTATAGACACCTAGAGCAATAGCTATTGGGACATCAAGTACCAAAAACCCCAGATACTGGTAGGATAGTAAAAGAAAGAAACTGCTGTAGGCCCATAGGCAGGTTATGTTATCTGATACACTGGAGTCTGATGCATTACCAAATAGACTTGCTTACCTTGGTTTGGTCTGGATCACAATAGTCCAAGAGAGAATCACAAAAATGATATCCCATTGACTCCAAGTCTTTTGTGTTGAAATGAGTGCCTCGTTTATTACCTAAAACATCAATAAGTTTACCCACCCTTGAGATTGAGTTAATCATTTGTCCTTAGCAAGCAGGTCTAAGCTGCAAAATAAAGAGTATAAACGAAACATCTGATATGATTCCGTATCCTGTGCTTAGGATTTTCTTCTCTGGGGTAGGTCATTTCACAGCTTACTGCTTTCCCCCGTTCCTTTTCGATCAACTGGACCAAAGGTGACTTAATAAAGATTAATCTGTGTTGTAAGGCAGAAGAAGACTCAATTAAAAAGTTATGGAATACTTGGTTACCAGTTATAAATATCCTAATAATCACTTGGAGGAAAACTTGGGTAAAGATTCTAATGTTTTCATCATCATTTATAATGTTATATAATATAATATAATAATGTTATATTTGTTTCAAAGTGCTTTAAAAACTAGCCAGAAATTACATGTGTGGATTTCCAGCACTTTCTTTTGAGTTGATACATTTTCTAACAATGTGACAATTAACTTAATATGGAGTATTCTAAGGAGACGCTAGATGTGACTAAAAGATTTCTTTTTTAAAAAGATTGGCACCTGAGCTAACATCTGTTGCCAATCTTCTTTTTTGTTGTTGTTTTTTTTCCTTTTCTTCTTCTCCCCAAAGCACCCCACCCCAGTACATAGTTGTATATTTCAGTTGCAGGTCCTTCTGGTTGTGCTAGTGGGATGCTGCCTTAGCATGGCCTGATGAGCAGTGCCATGTCCGCCCCCAGGATCCGAACCAGGGAAACCCTGGGCTGCCAAAGCTGAGCGCACAAAGTTAATCACGCAGCCATGGGGCCGGCCCCTAAAAGATTTCTTAAATGGAACTACAGAGCACATTTTCATTTTTAGTTCAAGGAACCAAGTGCTTCCATTAAAACATAAAGTGACCAAAAAAAGCCACCCAGTCTATTTTGGCTTGCAAATAGCACACCCACTAAAAACATATCTATCCTGATATTTTAGGAATGAGCATTGCTTTTTCTTGAAATCATTAAAATCATCAGTAGGAACCCTTTCTAAAACAACAAAAACAAACAATTAAAGATTAGTTCATGAAACAACCAATTAGGTATTCTATTTATATGCTAAAACTTCTTTTTCTAAACAAAGGAAAATGATGAGATAGAGATACATATAGTTGGAGTGGGAGTTTGTTTATTCATTCTATTTATAGAATTGGTTAGATATCAGTATGCATCCAAGTGGTGGGGGGGGGAGGGGAAGTGCTGACTATCAAATTGCCTATGCTATTAATCTTACATTAAATATGTCTCTTTGGTTTAATGCTCTGAAAGCCATGAATGAAAACGCTTGGTCTTACCCAAAGTAGAGCCACAAAAAGTGACCTCCATGGTAAAGCTGTTCCTGATTCCCATTTTCCACATTACCACTCTTCCCGTTCCCTCTTTGCTCTTCTGAACTTTAAACTTGCAAGCTGAGAATGAAAACTGGAAAGAAGCAAATAAAAAGAAGACCCATTGTTTTTTGGATAACGATATCTTTCTTAGGAAGTAGGGTTGAAAATGAAAAAGTTGTGCAAAACCAGTAATTTACTCTAAAGCTTTAGGAGCTGCTTTTATTTCCTAACCAATAGAAATAATTCATTTTAAGGATGACATATTTACATTTCTAAGAACTATATATTTAAATTCTGGTAATAAATTTTACTTCTTATCTTTGTATAACATATGCATTCAAAACCAGTTGATTAATTCTCGATATTGTTGGGATAAAATTTTATACTTTAAAAAAGTTATAGGAATGGACTTAAACCTCTCTAGGAATAAAGATTAGTGTTGTAGATTTTCAGAATAAAGTACTTTATTTTGACATGAAAGATTATTTAAAAGCTGTCCTAAAAGATTGTTATAACATCAGTAGCTACAAAGAGTTTTTCTAATTTTATTTTTTTAGTTGACATACAATAAAACTGATTTTTTGGTGTTCCATTCTATGAATTTTAACACATGTACAGATTTGTGTAGTCACTACGGCAGTCATCATCTCTAAAAGTCCCTTGCACTATCCCTCTGCAGTCACAAGTATTTCATTTATTTTGGAGCTACGGTAAATGGTATTGTTTTTAATTTTGGTTTCCAATTGTTCATTGTGAGTATATAGAAATGCAATTGGTTTTTGTGGGTTGACCTTGTATCTTACGATATTGCTAAACTCACTTATTGGTTCTAAGAGTTTTCTGGTTAGATTGCTTTGGACTTTCTATGAAGACAATCATGTTGTCTTCATTACTTCTTCCTTTCCAATCTGTCCACCTTTTGTTTCTCTTTCTTACTTTATTGCACTCATTAGAACCTCCAGCATAAGGATGAACTGAAGGGATAAGGGTGGATATCCTTGCCTTGTTTCTGACTTCAGGAGGAAAACGATCAGTCTTTTATCCTTAAGTATGGTGTTAGGATAATGGGCATTTTTTTCCCTCATATTTCAAATGATTGGTCACTAAACATTCCATATAGTTGCTTTGTTATGGTCATTTGTATAAACCAGTCAAAATAACTAATAAAAAAGCAGTTTACTGAATAAGGTTATCCATTCTGCTGTCTCACATGGGTAACATAGTAACGGAAAAGTTAAAACTTGGAAAAGGTGCTTACTTTATCTGGACAATTTTTGCTCAGCATAAGTGGAAAGATTCGTTGCTGTAAGTATACTGCCTTACATCTATCCCTACCATCACAGCCATACATGAAGATGTTCTCTTTCCTACTATGGCCATGAAGGTCACAATATAAAATAACCTCTCGTTTCTCCATCAATCTACCAAGAAGAAAAAAAAAACAGGTTACTAAATTTTACCTTTGCATTCACATATATATATTCATACATAAAATATGAATGCTTTAACCTTCTAAGGACAAAATTTACCTTACTCCCAAGATTTTCTCCAACAGGATCCCTCTGCTTTGTTATTCTTGTTTTCTTTTGTACACAGAAAACAGCTTACTCCTACCTTTGCTCATTAGCTCCCACATAGATTCTTTCTAACTGGAATACCTTCTTTCTTCATCTTTGTAAATGGAAATACTACCCCTCATCTCTCAACACTGACCTCATGTCTTACTTCCTCTCTAGCTAATCAAGCCCATAGATTTTTGTGTGTGTGTGAACTCCCATAGCACTTAAAATTGGTACCACTTCCTGGCACTTGCCTAGGAAAGTTTTCACATTTTTGATATTTAATCTTGCTAAGGATAGGGAATGCTTCAAATCATCTAAACAGTGCTATGCACACAAGTCCCCAAATATTTGTTAAAAATTGAGTGCCTAATGACTTGGTACTGAAGCCAATTAATATTTAATCCATGATTAACATGGAGAATAAATATCATAGAGAAAAATGGTACCAAAGTTTGAATTGATTTTTTTTCTGGAAAATTTCTAACAAATAATTTAAAGAAATTGTTATATATGTCTTAAGAGCACAATCCTTAGCCTACGTCATTTAGGTATTTAATGAATATTAAAGCAATAAAAAAAAAGCTCCCCAAATTACTGATGAAAATAACTAATAAAGAGGCTTTCAAAAGGTAAAATAGTGGTGGTGTTAAGGTGGTAGGATTATGGGCATTTTGCCTTTTTTTTTTTTTTCATATTTCCAAACTTTATATAGCATTATTATATTACTTAACCAAAATTATATATACTAATTATTATATCTTGAAGGATAAATACCAAAGTGTTAGCAATGGTATTTGTAGTAATATTAAATGTATTATTTTTATAACAAAAATATTAAGACCTGAAATCAAAACATTCAAAGCGTAGCTTCTAATAGCTACTGGAAACAATATTCCTTTAACTATAGTGAACTTTCAAACTGAAGTCTATTACATGTATTAATTCATTGCCCTTTTCTCATTTGGTACCCAATAAATTCTAACTGATAACTTAAGATTGACATAAAACCACTAAATGATCATTACAAGTTTTTAGAAAACTAACTAGATTATAAAACAAGAATATCAAGCTAGGTACTTAAATATGAAATATGCTATATATTTCTAAACCAACACTTCCAGTTTTAATGATCTTTTGGTTTCTTATGAGTCAAAAGCAACCTCTACTTCTAAGCAATTAATTCCCAAAGAAATATTATTACTTCTGAAATGAAACAAGATATTAGGGTCTCTCATCTTACACTAATTTAAATCACTTTTAAAACAGTTTGGATTTTTTTCTTAGCCACAGATAAGATATTCTAAGTATCTTATACTAAGTTTCCTATACTAAAATCTACTCTCTCTTATTCTCACATTCTTTAAATATACTCAATCTTAGGTATACTTACAGCTGCTCATCTTTCTACACATATATGACTGACTTATTATTCTACTTACCTGCCTATGATTAATTGCATTAAGGTAGTTCTCTTACTTGGAAGTCTTTCTGAAACTTACTGAATAGATTCCTGCCTTAACCTTCTCACAAGGCAATCTGAGAAGAACTGAGACATTTATTTTCCATAGAGAGAAGCCAAGGGGCCTTGGCCTGTGATCCATCTTGTGTTGGAGCCTTAATATCAAAAAGCATTAAGTAGACATTATGGATACTCTAATAGGCATCCCATCACTCCCTTTTTGTAAAATAAAATAAACTTTTTATTTTGGAATAATTTTAGATTTATACAAAATTTTCAAAAATAGTAGAGAGAGTTTCCACATACTCCTCACCCAGTTTCCCCTAATGTTAACGTATTACATAATTGCGGTACATGATTAGAGTTTCCAATGTTGAAGATTTTATTCTGAGCACTTTAGTAATATATTCTCATTTAATCCTCCTGTCTATAAGGTAAGTATTATTTTTCCTATTTTATAGATGAGAAAACTGAGGTTTAGATTTGTTGTTGTTGATGTAGTATCTTATAGGATCAGTTCCTATTATAGTGCATTTTAGTTCAAAACATGTCTTAGGCATGTACCATATAGAAGACAGCATACCAGGTCAGGAGTAAGGTATGAACCCTGGACCAGGGACGATTTGAGTCTAGTGGGTGAAATAAGCATATGAATAGATCATTTCAACAGATCATTAGATTTGTTTTTAAACTGCTCAAGGTCACACAGTTCACAAATGATCTAGCAGGGGTTCCAATCTCATATGTTTAACTCTAGCTCCACACTCTCAACCAAAAAGGTTAAGAGGACGTGGACTTGGAATGGGTGTTCTCTGACTCCAATAAATCTTTCTGCTCTAGCACATGCCTATTCTTGACTGTTATCACCTGAATCCATTAAAGAATTCACCCATTCAACAAATGTTTAAATATTATGAGCATTTTACTGTTTTGGATTCTTCGGAAAATTTAGAGCTGTTCGATTTTTTTTTTAGGAGCAAATAAGAGTACTATTCATGAAAGCTTAAATAACTATATAACCCAATAATCAAGACTCATCATAGAGCAATGTATGATCAACATAGTGCCAGAATGCTCTGTGAGATGTAATTAATTTTCACATATAAGGGATTCAATAATCCCAAAGTAAATATCAGTGCTACCATGAGCTTTAGCAAGAAACCAAATTTGAAATATGCAAATTTAACTATTAGTTTCACGAAGACATTAAAATGTTCTGGAGCCTATTTCATTATTTAAGAGAAGGCTAGTGAATCCAGTGGCATGCCAGAAAAGAAGAGAAACAGAGTCAGGAAGAATGGGGAAAAAATTAAGTAGCAATAGTTAAACTATTAAGAAAAGGTAGAGTAAAATGAGTGAGTGTGGGAACAAAATTCTTACTACCAAGTTTACTAAATAAGCAGAAAGGTAATTTGAGGCTTATTTTACCTACGGATCATGTTCCGGGTATGCCAAACAGAAGGAAATGATTCCTTTAGGACAGATGTATAGTTACGGTTTAAATCCCGTCCAGCTAAGGAACACCGATAATTTCCCACAATCACACCATCTGGATTCAGCATGGGTACCACCTTGAAGATGAAAGTGTCCCGAAGCAACTCCGCATCACTTGAGTCTCCTAAAATATAATCTAGGAAGCCTTTCATGATCCAAGAGCTGTTGGTTTCTCCTGGATGTACCCTTGCAGTCAAAATTACGGCCTTTCGCTTTCTTGAGTCGTTCTTCAAGGGTGTAGTGATCGTTAAAACATACACCATATTCCTAGCAATCGTGTGGCACAAGACACGTATTTTACAAAACTTTGAGCGTACTGGGTCATTATTAATGCTAGAAAGGTATTCTTGCAGGTTGGTGTATGTGTATGGATAGCAGTGAGCAAAGTAGCAGGTATCTTTGTTGTGTGGAAATTGAAATGTCCATGTCAGAGAGAAATAATGGCGCCCATCTTGCCCCTGATTGTTCCTATAATACTTGATTTGGTCTCCTATTCTCTTCCAGCCAATATTATGAGACTTGGCCTCTTTTTCAGAATAAAACAGTGGGCGCATACCCCTATTGTAAAGACTAGCAGGCTTGGTGAAATTGATAATGGTGAATCTGTAGACTATTCCTGCTTGGGTATTAGTGACTTGGAAATAGTACCACTGGGTGTGTTTATTTGTGAAGAGGTCAGGGCGCACCGTCAACTGGTATTCATATTCTGCCCTAATACACAAAAAAGGAGGGAAAAAAAGCACATAAAAACGATATTCAAGTTTAAGTTAAATAACGAAAATTATTTTATTTTTACCTATTAATAGAAAGCTTTTTGGGGAGGAAATAATGTTTATTTAGGCAATATCCAACAACAAATAATTGCAAGAGAGAAAAGTTTAAAAATTTTCTTTTGTTGGTTGTGAAACTGCTTCCATGCTAATTCTAAAGACTTTTTATTCCTTTGTAATTCAAGAGAAGACATAAAAATGGGCATATGATAAAAAATTCTATATTTCAACCCAATAATATTTCCTATAAAAGAAATGATTACAGAGTTCTTGAAACTGAATTAAAGTTCAATGTTTCTTTTTTTACTTCAGACATATATGTCTGTTTTCTATTAGATTCTAACTGTAGGGATCTGAAATAATTATCACTGAGAAAGGCTTAAACCATACATAAATTAATATGACCACATAGACTACAAAATTTTAAATTCTTTGAGGACTATATTTGATATAGACTATATATTTGACATTTGCATCCTCCATACTTAGTCATCAAGGGTACTTAAATAAAGGCAAACTTTTACTGGTATAGTATTTATATATATAACACTCTTTCCTGGTTAGTTGTGACTTTTTTCTTTACCAAGTAACTTTCTCTTATATCAGCAGTATGCATTTAGTGTGAGTGTGTAGTTATAAACAATGACCTAGGAATAAGTGAAATGAATGTTGCAAAATCCTGATAGCTGTTGAATCTAGGTGATGGGTATATGGTAGTTAATGTAGAACTGTATTATTCTTTGTACTTAAGTGTATGCTTAAACATTTTCATAATAAAATTTTTTTAAAAGAATGCCCTTGGATAGCATGCATGTTCCCAAGCATATCTTATAGAACACTCATCCCAAGAATTGTCCCATTAAAAATTTAGAGAAGCTGTGTGTGTGTGTGTGTGTGTATGTGTGTGTGAGACACAGGGACAATTCATATTGGCATACTTAAAATGTACAGTACAGAAACTTGCTTAACTTTAACTCATAGTTATAAAAATTATTTGAACCCAGAATTTGAACCTTTCATACCCCCACCCCAAATCTCTAATTAGCATCTATACTTCAAGGAATGACAGTTAGGTAATGGGTACTAAAACTTTAATGTACTTAATACAGAAAATAATAAATAGTTGAAGGTCTAGCCCCTCAAATAAAAATAATTAAAACCTACACTTTGACTACCTTCTGTAGATTACCACTCTCAAACCTTGCTTCAAACATCAAAGTATTGTCACAGTTATCCACAGGCTGCTTCAAGGGTGTTCGGTTGCCCCCAACTCGGGAATACACAAAACAAGGCTCTTTGTAAGCTGAGGAGAGAAGACCATAAAGATATCAAACCATATCTAAAGTATACAGGCTATTCTGCATAGAGTTTGGAGCTACAGTACAAGTATAATCGAAGTGTCACTAAGGATTTCAAATTTTAAAGTAATTTGAGATTAATATGTATTTATGTTGAAGTAAGAAAGACTTAAGAGTATTTAGACTAGAAAAGCAATGCATAAAACAAATTAATGCATTTCTCACATTAAATATACTTATTCCACTTTTGGTTATTATGAAGTAATTGGTCCCAAACTTGTCCTTTCCCTGTAAATGACTATAATACTGGACAACAAAATATGAGCTAACTGTTTTCATACATTTGGACAGCACATAGACCGGAACTATATAGGGTTCTTGAAAGGAGATAAATACATGAAGTAAGCCCATGTTTAACCCTGGCTTTCTTCCTGGGAGTACTTTTGGACTATATCTTAGGAAAGCAGCACTTAAGACTAGCATAACAGTCTTGCTGAGCTGAAGAGGGAAGATTGTTACTTGGGGCTGCTGCAATTTGTGAGGCAGGACACCAGAGAGAGGAAAGCTACAAAGAGGGAGAGCTTCAACAATCTACATGGTGATTCCCCAGTCTTTGACTGAGGGCTTGACAATATAAGCACAGGATAAGACTAAGCAAGATAGGAAAGAGTGCTACTGTGGGACTGAGATATCAGAGGACATACAATTCTAGGATAGACTGGAATTCTAACCTATCCAGAATGGACAGACTTCGCTGAGCACCCCAGGCATTCAATCATGACTCCAAAAAGACTGCACAGTAGGCATAAGAACCACATTCAAGAGTAAGGGCCATGACCTAGGACTAGGGACAAAATGAAAACAGACTTGCTCTTACAAAAAAATACAACCAAGCCTGAAAGAAGCAAACTGATCTGTCAGCAATTTGGCTGCCTTCCAGATCAAAATTCAACATAAGTATAAAAAAGAACACAATACAGACTCCTATACCAAATCTTTCACAATATCCTGCATATGATTAAAAAAAATCATGAAGCATGAAAAGAAGGAAAAATGTGATCCATGTTCAAACATACACACACACACACACACATATTCAACAGACTCCAAGATAACCCAGATGTTGGGATTAACAAAGGACTTTTAATACAGTCATGTACCACATTATAAGATTTTGGTCAACGACAGACTGCATATATAATGGTGATCCCATAAGATTAGTACATATAACCTAGATGTGTAGTAAGCTGTACTATCTAGGTTTGTGAAATACACTCTGTGATGTTTGCACAATGACAAAATCATCGAAGGACACATTTCTCAGAATGTATCCTCATCATTAAGCACCGCATCACTATATATGTTAAAAGACTTAGATGAAAAGAGAGAGATAATGAACAAGTAGATTAAGTAATCTCAAAACAAGAAATGGAAACTATAAAAAAGAACCAAATGGAAATTCTAGAAATAAAAAGTACAATAACTGAAATGAAAAATTTACTATATGGGCTTAAGAGAAATTTAATATTTCAAAAGAAGGACTCAGTGAACTTAAAAACAAATATCCAAACTCAAGGACAGAGAAGGAAAACAATGAAAAAAGACCCAGTGGCATGTGGGGTACAGCTAGAAATTCAACATATATGTAACTAGAATTTCAAAGGACAGAAGAGAAAGAATAGTGTGGAAAAAACATGTGAAGAAATAATGGCTTAAAATTTCTCAAATTTGGGGAAAAAAAAACCCACCCTACTAAGCTATGAATCCAAGAAGTTCGGCAAACTCCAAGCAAGATAAATATAAAGGTAATTAAATCTAGGCAGATCATAGTCAAATTGCTGAAAACAGCCAGAGAAAAGGATATATCATCTATATGCAACAATTATATAAATTATGACTGAATTTTTATTAAAGATGACAGATATCAGAAGACAAAGGAACATCTTTAAAGGGAATATCTTTAAAGAAAAAAATTTTTAAATAAAAAATGTCAACCCAGAATTCTATATATCCAGCTGTTTGAGGACTTCCCTCTCGTTCAGCTACAGGTTTGGAAGCCATGCTGTCCTCCTACCCTTTCAGGCCTAGAAGACATAATGCTTCTGCTCTGTTGACAGTACTATGTTGCTTCACCATCCTTTGTCAGTCTCCCTTAACCCTGTCCATACTTTTGTAAGTTATACTTTCATTAAACTTTCTCAAATTGCCCCAAGTATGCCATCCAATTCCTGACAAGACCCTGGTTGACTCACCTCAACTATCTTAATTTTTTTTTTTCCTTTTTCTCCCCAAAGCCCCAAAGCCCCCCGGTACACAGTTGTATATTCTTCGTTGTGGGTCCTTCTAGTTGTGGCATGTGGGACGCTGCCTCAGCGTGGCTCGATGAGCCGTGCCATGTCCACGCCCAGGACTCGAACCAATGAAACACTGGGCTGCCTGCAGCGGAGCACGTGAACTTAATCACTCGGCCACGGGGTCAGCCCCAACTATCTTAATTTTTTATCAGATCTTATTTAAGTTATGTGTGGAAGTTCTAAGGCAGGTTAGTCACTTAAATATCTGAAATCAAATTTAAAAAATCAGAGATGCTTCTCTCCAGTTGTTTAAAAATATGTGAGTATAAGATTTATAGAATTACTTACCGTATAGAAAACAATCCCTGTGAATTTCTCTGGTTTTCCAGCCCTTTAAATAAAATACATAAGCTCCCTGGAAGTTATCTTTTATATATACTCTAAGACACAGAATTCTGATGGTGAAACTCTTCAGGAATCCCATATTTCCTCATGCTGGTGCTTTAGGAGCAGCACAGTTTAGGATATAGGCTGAGATTTCTATGTTTTATTATTAGCACACTATCATAAAGCAGATATGAAATTTTGCATTACTAGAGCTCTCAAGGTACAAGTATTGATCTTGAGCGTCAAGAACACTTTCCTGAGATATAATCTTAGATGCTATTTGCAATGTGGGGTATTTTCCTCTTTTTAAGATGACAATCCCAAGAAATGCATCAAGCTGGCATGAAATGAAAAGAATACCGTTGCATGAACATCACATGACCTATCAATAAGAGAGGGGAACAATAGTTGCAGGGCACTGCACTGAACTTATCTTAGACAATTGAAGTGAAGCGCAATTCCTTTTAAATATAACTCTCCATTCAAATGGCCAATGTGATGTTTTATTTTAAAGTAACTTTGCATAAACTGCAGTTCACTTTCAAGAATATAATTAGCACTAAGTTAACATTTGAATCAAAATGTAATCAAACATTTTGATGGGGACAGGGACTTCTTGGTAATCTGCAATTTACACTATAAACAGGAAAACAAATGTAACTAAGAGATTAATCCAGGTACCAAATTATATTTTATAGCAACATGTCTCATTATGTACTCACCATCTTCAGCCAGATAAACCACAGTATCTTCCTTGGAGTTTGGATAAACTGGTTCAGTCTCCAGGCCTGTTGGGATGTACACTGGCTCAGGATAAAAAGGAGTCCAATCTGGAAAAAAAAAGAGAAAACATTATTTGAATATGATTTCAAAATAAAACGAAAATTTTATTGTATGTTTTCAAATTATTCATTGATAGATCTAAGCTAAAATTTAGTGTTTCATGCACAGCTGGATTTTACCAAGGGTTTCTTGGAAGTAATAATGCACATTCTCACACTGTAACAAAACCCCTAATATTTCATCTGCACCTTGACAGTGAGTAGTTTATGATTGTTTGGTGCCATTATAGATTTTACGCTGATGTTTCTATTTCTCCTGAGCGCTTGATGCCTTTTTGACCCACCTCTGGAAATCTTGCTCCACCTTTTAGTCCCCTTTTCCCTGTATCTTCAGCCTCTTGCTTGACAATGGTTATCCCCTAAGCTTATAAACATGTTCAAATTTCTTCTATCTCCCCAAAGGAAGGCTATCCTTGGACCCCCACCTTCTTTCTTAGCTATACCAGCTTTCCTTCTCTTTATTATTTTTAGGACCAAATTTCTTAAATGTTGTCTGAAACATGCTCAAATGCATAACCTATTTTTGACCAAATTTTTGACTATGATCTGTTTGATTGGAAAAAAATGACTTCACAGCCCAACTACTCTAGTTGTTCCTACTTTTTAGTGGAACAAGAATTTGGTGATGACTCATTCTCCTACTTCTCATTTATTATTGATGGGTGTGTGCCAGACTATGCTTATCTCTGGGAATAAATATGCTCCAATAGAGGGAATCAGTATCTATGATCCCAAATACATTCAATGGAACAATTAAAAAAAAAAGAGGGGCTGGCCCAGTGGCTCAGCAGTTAAGTTTTCATGTTCTGCTTTGGCAGCCCGGGGTTCGCTGGTTCAGATCCCGGGTGTGGACATGGCACCGCTTGGCAAGCCATGCGTGGTAGGCATCCCACATATAAAGCGGAGGAAGATAGGCATGGGTGTGAGGTCAGGGCCAGTCTTCCTCAGCAAAAAAAGGAGGATTGGCGGCAGATGTTAGCTCAGGGCTAATCTTCCTAAAAAAAAAAAAAAAAAGAAAGAAAAAGAAACTAATGATGAGAAACAAGTACTACTGGACAAACAAACATTTTGGGGATTATGTGTACAATTGCTTTAGCAAAAGAAGTGTATTTGTCATAATGAATAGGGTCAAGCCTAGCTACGGAGAAAGCACAGACTAGAATATTGATGCAAATATGCATCACTGCACATCGCAGGGTTAACTGAACACACAACCAAATAATCTGATAATAAAAAATAAAGCAAATTATAACTAAAAAGTGACATTCTCATTAGTTGAAAATCTTAAGCAACTCAAACTAAAATTAATCATGAACTAATAACAGCATTGATTCTCAAAATTTGGGGAATTTCAGTTATTTGCCTTTGTGCATGTTTAATATCAAAACTTGCATGACAGCCGATTTCCCAGTTAAAGAAATAGAGATTTCATTAATCTCTTTATGCTCTTATTTAACTACTTATTAATCAATAGTCCTATTGTAAAGAAATATGAAACTCCATCATTAGAACTCAAGAAAGAAGTTGTACAATAGGGTCATATTTGCAGCTTATCAAAGTACCCTTACTGAGGACCATATTTTGGCAATCAGTCTTAGCCTACTGCAATCTACCTAGCTTTTGCTCTTTTCAGTCCCATACCCACTGTTCCATGAAAACTGTTCTTGGCATCGTATTTGAAAAAGAATAGGCACTCAGTTAAATGTCTATAGCTTAAGTGGGTGGATGAATGGGTAACTGGACAACTCAGATGGAGCTCTTATGCATAAATTCCCTAATTTAAATGATGGAATACTGAACCATTGCGATAAATGCTTTGTGTCTTGCAATATCTTCATTGCAAAGAAGCTGCTCTAGAGCTGGGACTGCTTAAGTAGAGATTTGGGCTGAAAATGGAAGTATTTCCAGATTTTCTGAGAATTAATTCACATTAAAGAATTTCATCTGTATTGCACTTTAACACCAAGATGGATTCCTAACATAGAGACTTCTTTATAGCTATCCAGCGTTAGCTTTTGTAGGTGTCATTAAGTCAAGTAGCCAAGCAAGTTCTATACTCTTTTAGAAGCTTCCCATTATCAAAATCTCCTGCCAACTTTGTTGATTTCTTCTATCCAAAAAACCACTTAAAGGTGGTGGTTATCGCTGTCCCAAGAGAACTCAGATGTTTATGCAAATATGCTGTTTCCCAGTTCTTTCAAAGCCGCAAACTTTTGAGGCACCAAAACAGCACTGCAGTCTTTTCAATTCTCCTTGGGTCAAAGTCATGTCCCCAGAAGAAGAGTGGAGAATGCACTTAGCATTTACCATGTCTTATGAGCACCAAAACAGTGCTGTTTCTGCCATTATGTCTCATGGATCACCTGGTGAATTTTTTCTCTTTGTCCTTTAGCCCCTTTCTCCATAAGCCTTAGGTTTGGCTTGAGGGGCCAATATCTGAGACAACACTATGCCCTCAGTCCTATACCATACATTTTTTTTTCTTGTTAATCTTTTTTTTTTTCTTATTGAGGTCATAGTAGTTTACATCATTGTGAAATTTCAGTTGCACCTTATTTCTTGTCTGTCACCACATAAGTGCTTCCCTTCACCCCCTGTGCCCACCCCCCACCCTCCTTCCCCTGGTAACCACTGAACTGTTTTCTTTGTCCGTGTGTTTGTTTATATTCCACGTGAGTGAGATCATAGGGTGTTTGTCTTTTGCAGTCTAACTTATTTCGCTTAGCATAATCCCCTCCAGGTCTATCGACCTTGTTGCAAATGAGATGATTTTGCCTGTTTTATGGCTGAGTAGTATTTCATTGTATATATATACCACATCTTCTTTATCCAATCATCAGTCAATGGGCACATGGATTGTTTCCATGTCTTGGCTATTGTGAATAGTGCTGCAATGAACATAGGGGTACCCATGTTACTTTGGATTGTTGATTTCAAGTTGTTTGGGTAGATACTCGGTAATGGGATAGGTGGGTCATATGGTAGTTCTATTTTTAGTTTTTCGAGGAATCTCCATACTGTTTTCCATAGTGGCTGCACCAGTTTGCATTCTCACCAGCAATGTATGAGGGGTCCCTTTTCTCCATACCCTCTCCAACATTTGTTATTTTTAGTCTTAGTGATTATAGCCATTTTAACAGGTGTAAGGTGGTATCTTAGTGTAGTTTTAATTTGCATTTCCCTGATGATTAGTAATGTTGAACATCTTTTCATGTGTTTATTGGCCATCTGTATATCTTCTTTGAAAAAATATCTGGTCATATCCTCTGCCCATTTTTTGATCAGGCTATTTGTTTTTTTGTTGTTCAGTTGTGTGAATTCCTTATATACTACAGAGATTAAACCCTTGTTGGATATATGATTTGCAAATATTTTCTCCCAATTGGTGGGTTGTCTTTTTGTTTTGATCCTAGTTTCTTTTGCCTTGCAGAAGCTCTTTGGTCTGATCAAGTCCCACTTGTTTATTTTTTCTTTTGTTTCCCTTGTCCAAGAAGACATGGTATTTGAAAAGATCCTTTTAAATTTTATGTCAAAGAGCATATAGTACCTATATTATCTTTCAGGAGTTTTATGGTTTCAGGACTTATCTTCAAGTCTTTGATCCATTTTATTTTTTTCTAAGGTGTGAGATAATGGTCTTCCTTCATTCTTTTGCATGTGGCTGTTCAGTTTCCCCAACACCATTTATTGAAGAGATTGTCGTTTCTCCATTGTATGTTCTTGACACCTTTCTTGAAGATTAGCTGTCCGTAGATGTGCGGTTTTATTTCTGGGCTTTCAGTTCTGTTCCATTGATCTGTGTGTTTGTTTTTGTCCCAGTACCATGCTGTTTTGATTACTATGGCTTTGTAGTACATTTTGAAGTCAGGGATTGTGATGCCTCCAGTTTTGTTCTTTTTCCTCAGGATTGCCTTAGCTATTCAGGGTCTTTGGTTGCCTCATATGAATTTTAGGATTCTTTGTTCTATTTCCATGAGGAATATCATTGGGATTCTGATTGGGATTGCATTAAGTCTATAGATTGCTATGGGTAGTATGGACATTTTAACTATATTTATTCTTCCAATCCATGTGCACGTAATCTCTTTCCATCTCTTTATGTCATCATCTATTTCTTTCAATATTGTCTTACAGTTTTCATTGTATAAGTCCTTCACCTCCTCGGTTAAATTTATTCCTAGATATTTTATTCTTTTTGTTGCAATTGTAAATGGAATTGTATTCTTGAGTTGTCTTTCCATAAGTTCGTTACTAGAGTATAGAAATGCAACTGATTTTTGTAAGTTGATTTTGTACCCTGCAACTTTACTGCAGTTGTTAATTATTTCTAATAATTTTCCCATGGATTATTTAGAGTTTTCTATATATAAGATCATGTCATCTGCAAACAGTCAGAATTTCACTTCTTCACTCCCTGTTTGGATTCCTTTGATTCCTTTCTCTTGCCTAATTGCTATGGCCCAAACCTCCAGTACTATGTTGAATAAGAGTGGTGATAGTGGGCATCCTTGTCTTGTTCCTGTTCTCAGAGGGATGGCATTCAGTTTTTGCCCATTGAGTATGATGTTGGCTATGGGTTTGTCATATATGGGCTTTATTATGTTGAGGTAATTTCCTTCTATCCCTGTTTTCTTAAGAGTTTTTATCATAAATGGCTGTTGGATCTTGTCAAACGCTTTCTCTGCATCTATTGAGATGATCACATGGTTTTTATTCCTCATTTTGTTAATGTGGTGCATCATGTTGATTGATTTTTGGATGTTGAACCATCTCTGTGTCCCTGGTATGAATCCCGCTTGATCATGATGTTGATCTTTTTGATGTACTGCTGTATTCAGGTTGCCAGTGCCTTGTTGAAGATTTTTGCATCTATGTTCGTCAGCAATATTGGCCTGAAGTTTTCCTTTTTTGTGTTGTCCTTTTCAGGCTTTGGTATCAGAGTGATGTTAGCCCCGTAGAATGTGTTAAAAAGTATTCTGTCTTCCCTAACTTTTTGGAATAGCTTGAGAAGGATAGGTATTAAATCCTCTCTGAAAGTTTGGTAGAATTCTCCATGGAAGCCATCTGGTCCTTGGCTTTTATTTTTGAGGATGCCTTTGATTACTCTTTCAATCTCTTTACTTGTGATTGGTCTATTCAGATTATCTATTTCTTCTTGATTCAGCTTTGGGAGGCTGTAAGAGTCTAAGAATTTATCCATTTCCTCCAGATTGTCCATTTTGTTGGCATATAGATTTTCATAGTATTCTCTTATAATCTGTTGTATTTCTGTGGAGTCTGTTGTTATTTCTCCTCTCTCACTTCTGATTTTGTTTATTTGAGCTTTCTCTCTTTTTTCCTTTGTAAGTCTGGATAGGGGTTTGTCAATTTTGTTTATCTTCTCAAAGAATCAGCTCTTTGTTTCATTGTTACTTTCTACTGTCTTTTTTGTTTCAATAGCATTTATTTCTGCTCTGATTTTTATTATTTCTCTCCTTCTGCTAACTTTGGGCTTTGTTGTTTGTCCCTCTTTTTCTAATTCTGTTAGGAGTAGTTTGAGATTGCTTATTTGTGATTTTTCTTGTTTTTTAAGGTGAGCCTCTATTGCAATGAATTTCCCTCTTAATATGGCTTTTGCTGCATCCCATATGAGTTGGTATAGTATGTTTTCATTTTCATTTGTCTCCAGATATTTTTGATTTCTCCTTTAATGTCTTCAATGATCCATTATGTTGTTTAGTCTCCACATCTTTGTCCCTTTCTCGGCTTTTTTCTTGTAATTAATTTCTAGCTTCATAGCATTGTGATCAGAAAAGATGCTTGTCATTATTTCAATCTTCTTAAATTTATTGAGGCTTTCCTTGTTTCCAAATATACGGTCTATCCTTGAGAATGTTCCATGTGCACTTGAGAAGAATGTGTATTCTGCTGTTTTTGGATGGAGTGTTCTATATATATCTATTAAGTCCAACTGGTCTAGCTTTTCATTTAATTCCACTGTTTCCTTGTTGATATTCTGTCTGGATATTTTATCCATTGATGTGAGTAGAATGTTGAGGTCTCCTACTATTATTGTGTTTTTATTAATATGTTCTTTTAGGTTTGTTAATAGTTGCTTTATGTACTTTGGTGCTCCTGTGTCAGGTGCATAGATATTTATAAGTCTTATGTCTTCTGGGTGGAATATCCCTTTAATCACTATATACTGCCCATTTTTGTCTCTCTTTTCCTGTCTTATCTTGAAGTATACTTTGTCTGACATAAGGATCGCAATACTGGCTTTCTTTTGTTTGCCATTAGTTTGGAGTATCATCTTCCATTCCTTCACTCTGAGCCTGTGTTTGTTGTTGTAGCTGAGATGTGTTTCCTGGAAGCAGCATATTGTTGGGTCTTGTTCTTTAATCCATGTTACCACTCTGTGTCTTTTTATTGGAGAATTCAATCCATACACATTTAGGGTGATTATCAATACATGAGAGCTTAACACTGCCATTTTATCACTTGTTTTCCTGTTCTCCTGCATTTCCTTTGTTCTTGTCCTGTGTATTTTGGTCTACCAATTGAGTTATGTAGTTTTTTATGTCGTGTTTCTTTGTTTTCTCCTTATTATTTGTGTTTCTGTTCTGCTTTTTTGTTAATGGTTAAATGAGGTTTGTATTCAAAATCTCATAGACAAGGGGCCTGCCTGGTGGCACAGTGGTCAAGTTTGCATGTTCTGCTCCAGCGGCCAGGGGTTTGTCGGTTTGGATGTCAAGTGTGGACCTATGCACCACTTGTCAAGCAATGCTGTGGCAGGCATCTCACATATAAAACAGAGGAAGCTGGGCACGGATGTTAGCTCAGGGCCAGTCTTCCTCAGCAAAAAGAGAAAGATTGGCAGCAAATGTTACCTCAGGGCTAATCTTCCTCAAAAAAAAATCTCCTAGGTAAGATAGTCCAGTTTCTGATGGCCTCTTATTTCCTTAGACTAAACCAATTCAGTCCCTTTCCCCTTTCTCTCCTAAGTTGTTTTTCTCACATCTTATTCCATCTTGTGTTGTGAGTTTGTGATTAAAATGACAAGATAATCTTTGTTTTTGGTGTTTTCCTTTCTTTTATCTTTAATGCTATTCCTGAGTATTTATTAACCTATTCTGATATATAGCTACAATTTTCTTATTTTGCCTACCTATTTATCTCCTTACTCTGTGCTTTGTAACCTCTTTCTCCATCTTTTTTTTCAGGTATGAAGGACTTCTGGAGGATTTCTTGGGGGTGGGGGTCTCTCATGGCTACGAACTCCTTTAGATTTTGTTTATCTAGGAAAGTTTTTATTTCTCCATGATATCTGAAGGATATTTTCACTGGATAGAGTATTCTTGGCTGAAAGCTTTTGTCCTTCAAAGATTTGAGTATGTCATTCCAGTCTCTCACAGCCTGTAAGATTTCTTCAGAGAAATCTGCTGAAAGCCTGATAGGGCTCCTTTGTAGGTTATTTTCTTCTGCCTTGCTGCCATTAGTACTTTTTCTTTGCCATTCAATTTTGCCAGTTTCACTACTATATGCCTTGCAGTAGGTCTTTTTACATTGACATGTTTAGGAGATGTGATAGCATCTTCCACATTGATTTCCATCTTCTTCCCTAGGTTTAGGAAGTTTTCTTCTATTATTTCTTTGAGCAAACTTTCTGCTCCATTCTCCTTCTCTTCTCCCTCTGGAATACCTATAATTCTTATGCTGCATTTCCTAGTTGAGTCAGATATTTCTTGGAGACTTTCTTCATTTCTCTTTAGTCTTAGTTCTCTCTCTTCCTCTATCTGGAGCACTTCAACATGTCTATCCTCGATTATGCCTATTTTCTCCCGTATGATGTCCACTTGAGCATTCAGGGAATCCATATTCTGTTTTTTCTCTTCCATTGTGTCTTTCCTCTCTAATACTTCTGGTGGATTCTTCTTTATTGCTTCAAATCTTTTGTGAAGTAGCTCCTGAACTCATTGACTCATTTCTCTACATTTTCTTTTAACTCATTGAGTTTTTTGATGATAGCTATTGTGAATTCTCTGTCACTTAGGTTACATATTTCTGTATCCTCAGGACTGATTTCTGGGTTCTTGTCATTTTCTCTTTGGTCTGGAGATTTAACATAATTTTTGATACTGCTAGAAGGTGTGGGTCTGTTGTTTCACATTCTGGTATTATTTGGTTGCAGTTACTGCCTATTGCCACTGGGTGGGGGTTAAGAGCTGCATATTCTGGGCACTCTGCATTCTGCTGAGATCCCAGGAACCAGAGCTGGTGCTGGGTGGTTTGGGGGGAGGGACACTTTCTTCTGCATGCTCTTGGGGTTTTCTCGCTCTGCCCTCACTATCTGATCTCCTACGGTGTTGGCTTGAAGAGGTCACCCCTGCGTTAGCTTTCACCTCGGTGCGGGTTTTACCCTAGGCTGCGAGGGCCCTCAGGAATCTTTGACATTCCTGCAAATGAACATCCCCTCTCCCATTGCTTCCCTCCCAAGGGCCACCTACAGTCCTGGATCTCAGCCTTTTGGGAAGGGTGCAAAGTTTTCTCTTACCCCATTCCACCTCCTCTGATGGGGGCTCCAGCCTCTCCATCCTCCATCATGTGACTGTGTGGGTCTCTCAGATGTCTTTTGTGTTGTGTTTGGAGGTCCTCTGTTGGAGTATGAATGTTTTTTCATTGCTTGGTGGAGGGGTGAGATTACCAGGAAAGCTACTCCATTATGAATGATGCTGATGTCGCTCTCAAAATAGATTCATTTTGTTTTAAAGAAAAAAAAAAAGACAACTCCTTGCCAAAGACTACCGCTTGAGGCTCTAACCACCAGGGAAGCAGACAGGCCTAGAAAAGTCTGAAAACAGCTTATATTTAAGTTGCAACCCTATACAAAAGTTAGTTTAGAATGTAATTCTTGTAAGACTAGCAAATATTTTGTTTTAAAGTGTTTGTTTGATGTTTCCCCTCCTTTATTTGATTAGTGTTCAGTTCAAATTTGTAAATAATACTGTTCTTGGTAACAACAGAATACTGGTTCCTCAGAAAGTCAATAAATACATATCTAGACAGTGTCTTCATGATGGTAAATCCGAACCTGTGGAAGACATTTATTTGTCCTGTATCTGTCATCCTTTTATGAAGAAAAACATAATAAAAATTAACAGCTCCAGCACTGATTACATCATACTGATGTAAAAGCCTAAGTGGATGACAATGGATATTCCATTTTCCATTATCTCTTTTTTCACTTGGTCACTGTAATACTTTTTATCTGCCATCAAGTTCACCTTTGATTGATCCCACTTTTTGATGATTAATACATAGTATATGCAAGTGATCTTATAAAACAGATGTCCAAAAGTCATGGAAAATTCCAGGAGTAATGAAATTTCTGAATTAAAGGTGCTTAATTTGGAATGCTTTTGATAAGTGATTACATTTTATTAAACAATGTGTTTACTCTATAAAAATTTAAAAGTATACCTTAAGCAAAAAGAAAAAATATCCATAATCTCATTACACAGAGATAAATATCAACACTTTGGTTTGTACCTTTTCAGGCTTTCTCTCCTTCAACTATCCAGCAAAGATGCTTTTAGCTACAAGTAACAAAAATTCTTAATGTAAACTGGTTTAAACAATAAGAAAATTTATTATCTCACATGTCTAGAAATCCAGAAGCAGAGTGGATTCAAGGTCTGGTACAATCAGTGGCTCATGGTCATCTAAGGCACAGTTTCTTTGTCTCTCCACTTTGTCATCCTCTACTTTGAGGTCCTCCTTAGGCTGGATCCCTTATGGCTGTAAAATGTGAACAATGTGGCTGCCAGTAGAACAGTGTCATGTACTAACTGACAGACTAATTAACTGAAGTGGAATTGATACTTGGGAGTCAATCACAATGTCTTCTTCATGTACATGACATCATTCTATATAAACCAATCATCAATTTGTTTTCCCCATTCTACTTAACTAAATATCTTAGAAATTTTACTTTGTTAATATACATAGATCTCCCTCATTTTTTAAACAGCTATGTAGTGTTCTCTAATACAGATTACCACTATTTGACCACAGATGAACATTATAGCTATTTCTTTAGTGGTGGACATTTTGGTTATTTCTAATAGTTTATTTACACTGCAGTGAACATCCTTATAATATGCTGCTATGCGTGTGTTTGAATGTCTTTAGGTTAGATATCTATTAGTAGAAATGCTAAATGAAAGAACATGTGAATTTTACATCTTGATATATAAAGCAATATATACTGCCCTTGAAAAAGAGTAAGCAATCTCATTTATATCTTGGTGCAATTTGTTTGAGGATACCTTTTCTCACTTAGGTTACAAAGTTATTTCATTTTTTTCTCTCTCTTAAAAGCAAAAGGAGCCTATTGGCTCTCAGAGGAATCAACCTAACGTTTGCATACAAGTGAAATCTCATTGACTATCCCCATAAAACTTTGTCTGAGACTACTTTAGAAAAATCTGTTTACAATCTCCTATAACTGCAGTGATGTGTTGCATAACAACGTTTCAGTCAACAATGGACCACATATACGACGGTGGTTCCATGAACTTAGTACCATATCGCCTAGGTGTGCAGTGGGCTACACCATCTAGGTTTATGTAAGTACACTCTGAGATGTTCACACAACGACGAAATCACCTAACGACACATTTTGCAGAAAATACCCCCATTGTTAAGTGACATGTGACTATATAGCATTTATCAATAGAAATTCTTTGGGTATTGATTATAAAAGGTGTTCCTTTCCAAGATTATGTTCCACTTTTCAGCAGTGAATAAAAGGTTCAAAATAGGTGATGGGCCTGATTTGGCCCATGGGCCACAGTTTACTACTACAGAGCCTGAACTCTTAGCTATTTTGGTATATATATTAGTTGGCTTTCACTACATAAGAAAACTCTCCAAAATTTAGTGACATAAAGCAACAGTCATTTATTTATCTCAACTAGGTGATTCTTCTGGTATTGGTTAGGTTCACTCATATTTGAGCAGGTTTGGCTAGGGGCTGGCTGATCTAGGATAACCTCAGCTCATCTCTGCATCATTCTCATTATCCAGCAATCTAGCGAGGGATTGTTCCATGGTGACTGACCAGGGTTTAAGAGAAAGCAGAAGTGTACAAAGCCTCTTGAGGCCTAGGTTAACACTGGCACACTATCACTTATGCCACATTCTACTTGGGTAAAGCAAGTCACAAGGCCATCCCAGATTCAAGGGGTGGGGAAACAGAGTACACTTCTTGATGGAAGGGGATTCAAAATGACCTTTCAAAGGGTGAGGATACATGGATGGAGAATTGTGGCTACTTTTTAAATTGAGTAAAATTTACATATTAAATATAGTGCAATGTACAGATCTTAACTGTATGTTTCAATGAGTTTTGACAAATATACAGATGTATATATATTTTCCTTTACTGAAAAAAGAAACATGGGGGCCAGCCCCATGGTCGAGTGGTTAAGTTCATGCACTCAGCTTTGGTGGCCTGGGGATTGACAGTTCAGATCCTGGCTGTGGACCTACACACTGCTCATCAAGCCATTCTGTGGCAGCATCCAACATAGAACAACTAGAATGACCTACAACTAGGATATACAACTATGAAGTGGGGCTTTGGGGAGCAAAAAAAAACGAGGAAGATTGGCAACAGATATTAGCTCAGGGCCAACCTTCCTCACTAAAATGGATTTAACAAAAAGAAACAAACAGCCAAACATTTTTTCAAAGTGGTTGTACAATTTTACACTTCCACTAGCAACGTATTAGAGTTCCAGTTGTTCTACATTCTCATATTTGGAGTTGTCAGCCTTTTAAAATTTTGCCATCCTAGTGAAAAGTGGTATCTCATTGTGGTTTTAATTTTCATTTCCCATGTTGAACATTTTTCCATATTCTTAATAGCCATCATGTCTTCCTTTGAGCAATGTCTGTTGCAGTCTTTTGCCCATTTTTTTAATTAGGTTTTTTTCTTTTTAGTATTGATTTGTAGGAATTCTTATATTCTGCATACAAGTCCTTTGTCAGATATGTGTTGGGGATTGTTTTTAGACTGTGGCTTGCCTTTTCATGTTATTAACTGTCTTTTAATGAGAAGTTTTAAATTCTGATGAAGTCAAATTTATTAATATTTCATTGTTTCTTTTTTCTTTCTGGGTTTTCTCTAAGGAAGTGTTGCCTTACCTTATGATTATGAAGATATTGTCCTATGTTTTCTTCTAGGAGCTTTATAGTGTTAACTTTTATATTTAGGTCTATGGTCTATCTTGAATTATTTTTTTGTGTATTGAATAAGGTAGAGGTCAAGGTTTATCTTTTTCTACATGGACACCAGCTTGTTACAGTATCAATTATTGAAAAGACTTTCCTTATCCCCACTGGATTGCTTTGGTGCCTTTGTCAAAAATCATTTGGACATAAATATGTTGGTCTATTCCTAGAGTCTCTATTCTGTTGCACTGATGTATTTATCTATCTTTTTTTGCCAATTATTTGTGCTCATTTTTAAAATCCACCAAATCATACTTCTACCCATAGCTCATATGGCCAGAAACAAGCCAGATGTTTAAACAAAATGTTTATTAGGAATTATACGTATAAGAAGTACAAAAACGGGCTGGCATGGTGGCTCAATGGTTAAGTTTGCATGCCCCACTTCAGCAGCCCAGGGTTTGCAGGTTCAGACCCCAGGCGTGGACCTACACACTGCACATCAAGCCATGCTGTGGCAGTGCCCCACATAGAAAATAGAGGAAGATTGGCACATATGTTAGCTCATGGCCAATATTCCTCACACAAACACACAAAAAGTACAAAAAAAAAAAGAAAGAAATACAGCTCAGTGATTTATCACAAAGCAAAGACCACTTAGGTCAAGAAATATTACATTGCCAGCACCTCAGGTGCCCCACGTATACCCTCTTCCATCACTAGTTCCTCCCTTCCCTTGAAAGGTAACCATTAGCCTTATTATAATGAAATCACTTCCTTGTTTTCATTTATAATTTCAGAACCCAAGTATTCATATATATGGATATACATAACATATAGTCTATATCTACATAGGTATAGATATGAAACTATAGCTTTGGGGGCCAGCCCCATGGCCGAGTAGTTAAGTTCATGTGCTCTGCTTTGGTGGCCCAGGGTTTCACTGGTTCAGATCCTGGTCGCGGACATGGCACCACTCATCAGGCCATGCTGAGGTGGCCTCCCACATAGTACAACCAGAAGGACCTACATCTAGAATATACAACTATGTACTGGGGATCTTTGGGGAAAGAAGAAAAAAAGAAGATTGGCAACAGATGTTAGCTCAGGTGCCAATCTTTAAAAAAAAAATAAACTATAGCTTTCTTTTGCCTATTTTTGAACTTTACATAAATTGAATTACACAGTATGTATTCCTCTCTGCCTTCTTTCACATATTTGTGAAATCAATCCATCTTGTGGCATGTTGTCATTTTCATTGCTATATAACACATTACTACATAAAAATGCTACAATTTATTGATCCATTTCTACTTATAATGGACACGAGTTGTTTCGGTTTGGGGCTATCATGAACAATGGTGTTATGAAAGTTTTACAAATGTTCCTTGGAGCACATGTGCCCACATTTTTCTTGAGTATATACCTTGGAGTAAGAATTCCAGGTTGTAGGGCATGCATAGCTTCAATTTTAGTAGATAATGCAAAGCTGTCATCCAAAGTGGTTAAACCAATGTATACATCCACCAGCAGGTTGTGAAGGTGGCTCCACATTCTCATCATTGCTTGTTATAAGCTAAAATTTAGCCTCCTATGACTTCTATGAAACAGTACTTAGCCTTATTAACAAACAGGAAATGCAAATTAAAACCACAATGAGATATATACCACTTCATAATAAGGTTCAGTACCATTTCCCATGCTTATTGGACATTTGGATATCTTTTTTTGTAAAGTGCCCATTCAAGTCACTTGCTCATTTTCCTATTAAGTTGTCTTTTCTTTACTACTTGTAGAAATGCTTTTTGTATTCTAGATATGACCTCTTTGACAGTTATGTATTGCAAATTGCAAATATATTCTCCCAATCTATAGCTTGCTTAGAGTTTTTTGATGTACTAAAGTTCTTAATTTTACTATAGTCAAGTTTTTCAATCCTTTCCTTTATGGTCAGCATATTTTACGTTCCATTTTAGTTTTTCCCAATTCCAATGTCATGAAGATATTCTCCTATATTATTTTCTAGGAATTTTGTTGTTTTGACTTTCACATTTATATCTATAATCCACTTGCAATTGATTTTTGTTTATAGTATGAAGTTGAGGTGAGTCTTCTTTTGTTTAATATGGAAATCCAATTATTCCAGAACTATTTATTGAAAAGACTATCTTTTAATTATTATTCTGCAGTTCCACATTTGTCATAAGTGTCCATTTCATCACCTCACAAATAAACCCTGTACCCTTTGCCTATCACTCCCTTCTCAATCTTCTAGCCCTCAAGAGCTAGGTAGCCATTAATCTCCTTTCTGTATCTATGTATTTGCCTATCCTGGACATTTCATATAAATGGAATCATACCATATTTGTCCTTTTGTGTCTGGGGCTTCTTTTACTTAGCATGTTTTCAAGGTTCATCCATGTTGTAGTATGTATCAGTACTTCATTCCTTTTTATGGACAATTAATATTCCATTGTGTGGACATACCACATTTTGTTTATCCATTCATCCACAATTGGACATTTGGGTTGTTTCCACCTTTTGGCTATTATGAACAATGA